GGAGGATTATTGATGGTCCTTTCTGATGCATTTTCCAAGAAGAAGTCGGGTTTTCCTGGTTTACCACAAATATCTGAAAGAGATCGTAAAATGTATTTACAACTTGCAGGTCGCATATTATTAATTTTTCTATTCATAGGTTTCGTTTTTCATGGAGAATGGTCACTTGCTCGTTTTGCTATATCAATTATTGGATTTATCGCTTGTATAATGGTTGTGGTTGGGTTTAAAGCTAAATGGTCTGCTACTTTCTTGGTCCTCTTCCTTTCTATTTTTAATATATTTATCAATAACTTTTGGTCTCTTCATCATGTAAATCCTCAAAGAGATTTTTTGAAATATGACTTCTTTCAAACCCTTAGCATTGTGGGAGGTTTATTGTTGTTGGTAAATATGGGTCCAGGTGGAATTTCTATTGATGAGAAAAAGAAAGAATATTAAAAATTGGAAAATTTTTTTTTTTTTTTATATGTATATATATATATATACTCTCTTAATTAAAAAGATCATAATGATAGATCTTTGCTATTTAATATATTTAAAAATTATGATCAATTGGACTTCAAAATCTTAAAAAAAAAAGAAGCTTCATATGTTTATTATTATTATTTTATCTTTTTTTTTTTTGTACATTTTTTGTTGGATCTCATTTATTTAATTATAAAGTTTATTATGCTAATTTATTAGTTTAATTGGTTAATACGTAATTATTATACGTAATTATTAGATAATTATTATAATTATTTTGTGCGTTTCGAATAAATCGCCGAATTATATAGATTATCTTAATTATATTAAAAAAAAGTTTTTTTAAATTTATTAATAAAATTGACCCTCCCCAAATACTGTTTTATCTTCTAAAAACAAATGAATTTTCTTTTTTTTTTTTATTTTATTTTTGTGTGAAAAAAAAAAAATAAAAAAAAAAGACGTGTACTAATTAATGCAAGATGTGGTTGGAAAAACGAAAAAAAAGTTTTTTTTTTTTAGGAAATACTGTACAAATTAAAAAATTCATTACTTTTCTTTCTTTTTTTTTGTTTTCCTTTTTAGTTAAAATGAGAAGAAATAAAAATTAGTATTCATTGTTCAACATTAATGACAAATAAGTTGGAAATGTAATAAGTATAATAAGTATAAATAACTACATATAGTTTTTTTTTTTTTAAAAAAAAAAAAAAATAATGATATCGAAGAGAAGCGAAAATAATTCATCCCAGCGCGTTCTTTACAACCATTAATTTTTTTTTTTTTAAAAAAAAAAAAGATTACCCAATATAAAATACCTATCTATTTAATAATATTAAAATAAATATAAATAAATTAACCATATTGTTGTATGTTTAAATTCTAAAGTTGTAACAAATTATAACGAATATTCCTAAATTACATATGAATCATATGATAACGATAAGTAAAAGGTCCAATTTTTAATACAATGTTAAATCACGTGTAATTTAAACTTACCATCACGGTCTTGGCTTCGCGGCGTTACCGCCTTCAAAGTTCAAACTTAAAAGGAACATTAACATATCCTTTTTTATTTATTTATTTTTTATTTTTTTGATTAAGATAAAAACTTTGATTAATATTATTTTTTTATTTGTTAAAAAAGTTAGAATTAAAAAGAATTATTTACCTGAAGAACATGTATAATAATTACTATCATTGTAATTAACATTTCAGGATATGTTTCAAGATCTATCACTGCTTCTCGTGTTATATCATGATTAAATACTCGCTTGTAAATGTTTCGTGTTATTGCAGAACTTGCAAGTTCGAATGCCCAAATAATGAAACTCGCTCGTATCGTTAAGCCAAAATCGAACAAGTCATCGTTAAATTTGAAGTACGGGTATACAGAACTATTTGGTCCATAAGTTATTATACATAACCAACAAATGAATCCAAGCATTGTGGCATTTTCTGCTAAATTCCTTATGAAAAATGACCTTCCGCATTGCCTTCGGTAATCTTCATATTCTTTTCGAAGTCCAAAATAACATACGAGATATCTGTGAACCGTACGTGTCATACATAATGGATAAAAGATACAAACCCACAGCGAACTAGCGGCTTGGATAAGGATATATGTATCACGGTCACGTAAACGGGCGAAAAGATTTCGATAAAAGATAAAGTAGATCATAAAAAAGTAGAGTTTGAAAGTGAATTGTAGGGGATATGATCTCACTTTGGTTTCAAGGATGTAATCTGTAACCGTGTCTAAAATATAAATGGTAGCGAGCCATGAATAAACGTAAACGAAGGCATCTATACCGGAATGCGTTTCTGGTGATACTAAGAAAACGTACGCGTAGGCTTCACCAGCTATGAATGCTATGATTACAAGAAATATTGTGGTACAAAACCACAAGAATCTAAGATAAGAAGTTGGTATACGATGGAGTAATTGAGGTTCAAGAAATGTTTTTTGAGCGAGGGTAAGTGAATGTCGATAAGTATTTCGATTTTCTGACCGAATGACAATGAATGCTACTATGAGAGGCATATTCATTGTCATAAACGTGAGTATAACCCATGTTAGGTTATGCTTTTCCAATCCAGTAAAGAAATATATCAATATTCCAATGGCAAGCGACATAAGCCAAAATACACAATATGCGAAGAATCCTCCAAGCCATTTTGGCCACCAATTAAGAGAGTATAAATCAAATATTTTTGTGATCATCAAAAGTGCTATAGCATTGTAAAAGCCATAATAGAAAAATAAGAAAAACCAAAAATTGATTTCTACAGGTTCGGGATTAGGAGCCGGAATATGAGATAAATCTGTGTCGTTTGACGAAGAATTATAAGCTAAAAGATTATCTTTAATGTAATCAACCGACGATATATTTTTATCTGGATCTTTGTAAGGGTTATTGTTAGGAAAAGGAACCGCACACCAAGCAAGAACCTAAAATGCAATGCATTAGAACCATGATCATTAAAAAAAAAATTTCATGAATTGATTTTGTTTAATGTGATATTAAATTAATTATTTACCACCATAACAGGAAACACATTCAACACCAAAGTTCGTTTCAAAAAAGTGCTAGTCCAACTACGAACTTGTTTCCTTGAAGTTTGAAGAAGGTGTGTACGCTCGTCAGGCTCCACCGATGAAATTGGAGAGTTAATCATTTCCCGTGAACTTAAAGTAGAATGTACACGATATCTACGTTGTGCGTGCTGATCTTTTTACAAAAAATAACAAACCAAAAAGTTCGTTTATTTTTTCTTTAAAAATAAAGTATTGATAAACAAAGCAACCAAAATTTGGAGAGTTTATATTACCTTCGTCATATGAATCTAGCTCGTCTCCTTGACTTAAGTGGTGCATTATGCGTGCACGTTTTTTATATTCAAAACGGCAATAATACGAAATGTTCTTTACGTTTTTTTTTTTTTTTTTTTAAAAAAAAAAAGTATATATAATTAAATATATATTAAGGAGAAACTATATATTATATAATATGAGTAAAAATGCGAGTTTTAGACATAAAAATAAAAAATAGATATAAACGGTAGATATCTATCTTGTATTTATTTATATTAATTTATTTTTTAAGTAATAATTAGAAAGTGACTAAAGTGACTAAAATTCAAAAAAATTTAGCCTAAAATTCTGGTAAAATAACCAGAAATGAATATAACTCTTTAAGAAATAAAAACATGGGGTAATGAGTTGATTGAATGCGAAACAACCCCTTATCTATCTATCTAAATTTTTTTCCCAACATATCACATTGATGATCCTTTAGCCCCTTGGATTATCTGATTACAGCTTTCGAGGAAGGAATAATCGAGTTTTAAGGTCAATCATTTCGTAACAAATATTGTTCTAGTAAAATTCATGTAATAATGTAATGAATTACCACAATTTTTTTTTTTTTTTTTTTTCGGAATTTCATTTTAGGTGTAACTGTATGATGCATAAATGGCATAACTGTTAGCTTGGCATGGATCAATGTATCTTATGTGAAGACAAACAACTAAAATGAGAACAAATTATCTGTGTTTAGTAGGAAAATACCGGTGCACTTATACAGTGAAATTTACATGTGAAAGATTTATTGAGATTTCATTGTGGATAGAAGAATATTTTTTAAATTTATCATAATTCCTAAAGTGGGAATAATTGACAAAAGAACGCTATCGGCGAATTTTTTTTTTTTTTAGGCTTGCTTTGCATTTAAAATGGTTAAAGTAATATGTCCTTTTTTTTGAACTTGCAGGCGAAAGAAAAAACAATTTAACGCGAATCGCGTGAATACGCCATGCCTTTATTGGTAGAATTGTTGATCGAATGTAATGACCACGTGATAATTTATCCTTCTAATAATCGTTATTTTCGAACAAAAATAAAGATTTGTATAGGTATCAATTAATAGGAAAAATCAAACAAATTTGTTCATTGCTTCCCAAATCAATCACATGAAATCTAAACAATGAGTGACATTCTAGAGTCTAAATTATGCTACTGTGACATAAACAGATTGGCAAAAGATTTATCTAATCTATATTAATGAAGATTCATTTTTTGATTTTTGTTTATTGGATTGGCTACTGTTTAATTTATAACACAAAGTACCTTTTATATTATAGTTAAAATAATAATGAATAATATTCGATTATGCAAAGAACTCAATGAAACTATACTGGATTATCTCATATTAATGTCGATCTCATCGTTCGAGGATATAAATATATAATTTAGAAAAGATTTCTATTACCTTGTTTTACGACAAAAGTAAGTCTAATTTGGATATGTTACAAGAACATCTAAGCGGCTCCTTGAATCGGTTATAATCTGATTTTTCTCCGATTAACCGCTCAAGCATTAACAATTGATTTTTTCATGATAAATCCAACAAAGGTTTCCTTCTCAACTTGTGGATTCGCTCATGAAATGATCATTTGAGGAAAAGAAAAGCGGAATAAATTAAAACAAAGAAGTTTACTTACCGCTTCGAACGAAAAACTATTATATTTGTTTATGATTTCCTTTTCTTTGCTGTGGGCTTATCAAAACCTCCATGTAAACCACCCAATTTTGATATCGTTCGCTTATTAATTTCCGTTTTCTGATTCCAAGGCACATCTTTCTATAAAGAAGTAAGGGAATAAATACATTGATAATTATACAGGCAAAGATTGACGATTTACTAACCGTTGATGTATCTTGATCTGCCAAATGCGTCCATTTAGTTTGCCCTGCACGACCGAAATTTTTAACTTGCATCACTTTGGGCAAATCTTCCTTGTGCGCCACTTCGTCTGGAGTTGCTTTAGTATAATCACGTTGAAAAACATCTTCATTTTCCTATGTACATTAAAAAAAAAAAAAAACCTTTAGAATTTTTTTTTTTTTATAAATGAATAAATACTTCAATTTAAAGAAAATAAAGATATATTTGTACCAAATAAAATGCGCCCTTGTGATAGTATTTTTGTAGAAATTTGTATTGACTTTTGGGTTTTTCTTCACGCTGTTTTTTGATACGTTCCATATCTTCTTTCATACGATGTTCCTCAGACATATTACGTCTGCGCTCAATCTCTTCACGTTCTTTTTCCCTCCTGTGATTGATTAACCGATATAATTAAGTGGTTAATGTATTTGTTCAGCTTTTTTTTTTTAAAAAAAAAAAAAATAAATAAAAAAAAAACACGTACGCTGCACTTTCTTCTTTGTCTCTCTTAATTCTTCTTAATTCACGCAATTTCCATTCATCATATTCTGCCTGTTCATCTAGGCCATCAGTATCATCAATTTCTTGCAATCCAGTATCCTCATTCACTATAAATCAAAGGATAAGCATCATGCCGAGAAACTCTATACAAATTAAAAATAATAATGCTAACTCTAACCCTCTTTTTGCAACGCTTTTTGAACTACTTCTGCAACCATCGCATGTGATTCTTTCTTCCTTTCCTCAAGTTCTTGTATTCTTTTGAGTTCAGCTTCTTCTTCTAATTTCGCCATTCTTTCTCTTTCCAACACCGTTTCTCTATGCGCTCTATAAATAAATATTAACAGTTAGCTTGCGTTTTAATAATCACCTATCGTACTTCAGAAAATTCCGTTCATACTTTGGTATGAATACGGGCTTCAATAATTTTCTTGATGATTGTTCTTCCTCTTCGGAATCTGTTTCATATTCTGAAGTCTCCTCGCTATCACTTTCCTAATTAAAAAATTTAATCTTATATTCTGATGAATAGAAAGTCGGAATCAAATTATAACCTTACATCTTCCTGTCTTGCAGCTTGTGCCCTTTCTTCTTCTTCTTGAGCTTTTAATCTTTCTTCTTCCTGTCGTCGCATCTCTAATACACGAGACCTTTTAAGTTGTCGACGCCGAATTTCAGCTTCATCGTCTAATTCGTCTTCTTGCAAATCCTCGGCTACATGTATTTGATCCTTTTGTAAGTCTTCATTTTCGTCGTCTTCTAAATGCCTCCT